TATTCCACAGTCATTACATTTCACGCACGTATTCCACAGTCATTACATCCCCGCACGTATTCCACAGTCATTACATTTCCGCACGCATTCCACAGTCATTACATCCCCGCACGTATTCCACAGTCATTACATTTCCGCACGTATTCCACAGTCATTACATCCCCGCACGTATTCCACAGTCATTACATTTCCGCACGTATTCCACAGTGATTACATTCCCGCACGTATTCCACAGTGATTACATTCCCGCACGTATTCCACAGTGATTACATTCCCGCACGTATTCCACAGTCATTACATTCCCGCACGTATTACACAGTCATTACATCCCCGCACGTATTCCACAGTCATTACATCCCCGCACGTAATACACAGTCATTACATTCCCGCACGTATTATACAGTCATTACATTCCCGCACGTATTCCACAGTCATTACATTCCCGCACGTATTACACAGTCATTACATCCCCGCACGTATTACACAGTCATTACATCCCCGCACGTATTACACAGGTGCTACATCACTGCACGTATTACACAGTCATTACATCCCCGCACGTATTACACAGTCATTACATCCCCGCACGTATTCCACAGTCATTACATCCCCGCACGTAATACACAGTCATTAGTTTCCTGCACGTATTACACAGTCATTACATCCCCGCATGTAATACACAGTCATTACATTCCCGCACGTAATACACAGTCATTACATTCCCGCACGTATTACACAGGTGCTACATTCCGGCGCTCGATGCAAACGGCACAGGCGATGCGCTGACCATAGCTGCCTTCATCCCGTGGGATGCTGATGAACAAGGCTTCAGCAGCTGTCTGTGGTACGGCGAGGAAGGCCTGGCAGGCAACGGCTCCCAGGCTGTCGAATGCGATCGATGGACGTTCGACACATCAGTACGGTCTTCGTCGGTATCGGAGGTACATTCATACATGCACTGCCCAACGTTTGTTGTTCTTCATAAACGCTATTGTTCCCGTAGTATGCACCGAAAATCGTTGTCTTGGAAGTATTGACTGGTCATTGTACCCGAACAAATTTTTCGTTGAAAACTGACGAAAATCTTACCAGCCATTACACAAAATAATTATTATGATAACATGAAATATAT